TTGAACATTCCTTAGGTAAAAAGTTAACGCAATTTTTAATAGATCATTTAACGTTTTATGTCGGTGTCGTTAAAATTTCAAGATATATTCAGTGTGCGATTATTATATTTTGGTGCTATCCCGCTGTCAAAGATGGTGACTGGCACATGACAATCTGACGTGGAAGGTGTGGTGTAAACTGGGCCTGATTTTGGCAGTATTTCCAACAGCCGCTTGGTTACTAAAAAGTTTGCTCTTTATTCTATAATCATTATTCTAATAGAAATGAAAAATATAGCAACTAGGCTTAATCGTGGGATAAATGTTAAATATAAAGAGCACACTCACATTTTTTCCCCTTTAGTTCAATAACCTTACATGTGTAAACTTTTACTTTTTTATGAACCAAAAAGAATTAGCTGCACTAGAAGTTAGAAAAAAAATATCGGAAATTAATATCTCACGGGAGTTTTGCTGAAGGACAATTTTATACAAGTCTGCCATGAGCAGATCTATTCAGCAACCGTTTTGTACGAGCCAATGGCTCTTCAGTCTGTTTGTTGTAGACATAGACAAGGAAAGGTCTGAAAAAAAATCTACTACTCGTTCCTTCTGAATGTAAAAACACAGAAAATCCAAGCTCTAAATATTTTGTATTCGAACTGATAAGAGCTAATAAACTAATCTAATCGGAGAATTTATATTTTCCTGCTCTGCACCTTTTAGATATACATTTCTAATACATATTTACACGTAATAGTTTCAAGTAAAAAAGCGACCCCACAAAACAGACAAGAAGACTTTATCAGTCACCATCAATTATGCTAACAAGATAATTTTGTAATTGGAATGTGATCCTATTAGTGGCTACAAGATTTTCAGTTTATATTATCTGAAATAAGAGAAATATAAATGAGAAGCAAGTATTACCAAATATATTTTCATGTCTTTATCTATCGTTTGGCTCTTTAAATGCCTGGCAATGTTACTATGTCACATTAAAAAATTACCTGAATTTCATCATACTGTAATAGCAAACTGCAGATACAGCCTGTAGCTACGTTTAATACAGATTTGTCTTTGTGGACCGATCACTAGTCCATAACCCCAAAACGTAGCAGCTAAAGCAAGTAGCTCACGGAATCGGCGTACTCGATCGGGTAAGTATTGGAAATGCTACGTGCACGTAATTTCC